GGTGTGCACTCATTGACCTTTCACTGTATGGACAGTGCGAAAACTCAATTTAGGATACTTCAACTCTTTCTAGGTAATTAACAGAGCTGGAGTTGTGTAGCTTAAGTCGACTTTCCCCTTTAGTGTATACCAGGCCCAAGTGATCTATCCTGTTGCCCATGCCCAGCTTCTGACAGAGGCTTGGGAACACCAACTCTGCCCATCTTGGTTAATAGCCATGGTGGATCTATCTTCCACGAATTAATCTAGCTCTTTTTTGAACCCTGTTATAGTCTTGGCCTTTACAACATCCTCTGGCAAGGAGTTCCACAGGTTGACTTTGCGTTGTGTGAAGAAGTACTTCCTTTTGTTGTTTTAAACCTGCTATCTATTTCATTTGGTGACCCCCTAGTTCTTGTATAATGGGAAGAAGTAAATATCTCTTCTTTGTTCATTTTCTCTGTACCGTGGTTTTATAGACCTCTGCCATCATATCCCCTCTTTGTTGTCTCTTTTCTAAGCTGAAAAGTCCCACTCTTATTAATCTCCTTATATGGCAGCTGTTCCATATGCCTAATAATGTTTGTTGCCCTTTTCTGAACTTTTTCCAATGCCAATACCTCTTTTTTGCTTGGGAGGGAGTGGCGTGTGATGCAGAGAGTCAGGTAAGCACCTCCCCCCGTTTCCCTTCCTCCATCCCCGTCCTGGGAAAATCTTTAATCATGTGTGTGTGTGTGTGTGAGAGAGATTTTTTTGGCTATTTGCATTTTTTTTTATAAAACCAAGGAATATGGAGTTTTCATCTACAAACTATTAATTTCAATATGCTCATTGGCATTTTTTTGTGTCTGTGAGTGGCAACTCCCCCGCCCCCCGAATAAAAATAATGTTTTGAAAATTAGGCCCTTTAGGACTATTTTTATTAAAACTCTTTCTTTTTTCCTCCTCCCAGATTTCAACAAATTTTGTGACAAATAAACAGCAACAATCAGAAGCCTCCAGTTGTGATTCTTCACTGGACTGCTTAATGCAGGAACCAGACAAGGGGGAGTGTCTTTCTAAAGGGTGTAGTAAAGTAGAAACCACAGTTATGGGCTTGATGTACAAATTACTGGGTGAGGTTCTTTGGCCTGTTGTATTCAGGTCAGATTATCACAACAGTCCTTTCTGGCCTTAAAATATGTCTCTATGAAAGCAGTTTAGCTAAAAATAAGAACATTATGGTTTTTGACCCAAACATCAAACTAAAGCGCTTTCTGTAAGATTAAAAAATATGTTAGTTAGCTTTTTATTTGGGTTTTTCATTTTTGTTTTCCACAGGTTCTGGATGTGATTGGAAGCAGAAAGGCTGAAACAGTGCGATACGTTATTCTCACAGTTTTTCTGTAGCAGCCAGAAATATAAAGTAACAAATATCCCACAAGACAGCAATGTCTTCATTAATTGCCAGTCATATTTTATACAAGAAAAAAGCTAAATGTTTGATATAATGGCTATTCAATAGATATTTGTGACTCAGTGGTCTCATAAACAAAAATGGGAATAATAATAGCTTACATTTATAAAGCATAAGAACAAAGGAACGGCCACACTGGGTCAGACCAAAGGTCCATGAAGCCTAAGATCCTGTCTTCCAGCAGTGGGCAATGCCAGATGCCCCAGAGGGAGTGAACAGAACAGGGAATCATCAAGGCTATACCTACACTACGTTTTTTTGTGGAAGAGGTCATGCAAATGAAGCGCTCATTAGCATTTTTTCACACGCGCGCTCATTTGCATTTTCTTTTCCGATCCGTTTTGTGCAAGAGGTTTTTGCGCAAAAACAAGCAGTGTGGACGTGTCCGTTTTGTGCAGAACCCCCTTTTTGTGCAAGATCCTTATGCCACACTGTCCATTTTTGCGCAAAAACCTCTTGCGCAAAATGGATTGGAAGAGATTATGCAAATGAAGCATGAGAAAATGCTAATGAGCACTTCATTTGCATTGCTTCTTCTGCAAAAAGTTTGTAGTCTAGACATAGCCCAAGAGATCCCTCTCTTGTCATCCATTTCCAGCCTCTGACAAACAGAGGCTAAGGACACCATCCCTACCCATCCTGGCTAGTGGCTACTAGCCTTTGTTGGACCTAACCTCCATGAATTTATTTAGTTCTTTTTTGAACTCTGTTAAAGTCCTAGCCTTCACAACATCCTCTGACAAGGAGTTCCACAGGTTGGCTATGAGCTGCATGAAGAAAAACTCCCTTTTGTTTTTAACCTGCTACCTATTAATTTCATTTGGTGACCCCCTAGTTCTTATGTTATGAAAACAGGTAAATAACTTTTCCTTATTCACTTTTTCTATACCAGTCTTGATTTTATAGATCTCTATCATATCCCCTCTCAGTCTCCTCTTTTCTAAGCTGAAAGGTCCTAGTTTTTTTAATCTCTCTTCATATGGCACCCATTCCAAATCCCTAATCATTTTTGTTGCTCTTTTCTGAACATTTCCCAATGCCAATATCTTTTCTGAGATGAGGCGGCCACATCTGTATGCAGTATTGAAGATGTGGGTGTGCCATAGATTTATATAGAGGCAACAGATATTCTCTGTCTTATTCGCTATTCCCTTTTTAATGATTCCTAACATTCTGTTTGCTTTTTCACTGCTGCTGCACACTGAGTGGATGTTTTCAGAGAACTATCCACAATGACTTCAAGATCTCACTCTTGCACATAAAGATCTTTGATTAAAAATTATGTATGTATAATATGGCAGTGTTTCACTATGGTATTGTAAGGAACAGGGCACGGTAGATAATGGTGGCTAGCATTTTTAAATATTTATCACATTTTTTATCCATGGTAAGATCACAGAAAAGTAGGTGTAAAAGAATTATTAGATCATGAAATCCATCCTCTTGCAGCAGCATACAGGTCCTGTTACAATAAAGCACTTACAAGCGTGCTTAACCTTAGTGCATATTGAAGTCTATTTCTGTTTAGCAGTAAAATCTGTGCCGGCATCCTACTGGTTTCAATAAGGTTTAAGCACACAGCATTATAGATAGGTCAGATCAGAAGGGACCTTGATAGGTCATCTACTTCAGCCCCCTGCACTGATGCAGAACTAAATATTATCCAGATCATCCCATTTTTCTAATCTGTTCTTAGAAATCTCCAGTGACAGAGATTCCACAATTTCCCTAGGATATTTGTTGCAATACTTATCATAGAACAGTGTTTCTCAACCAGTGGTACGAGTTCCCTTAAGGGGTTCTCGAGAGAAGTCTTGGGAGTACGTCAACACAACTGAAATTTGGAGAAAACTGAATTTTTGTTTTAAGTTACTTTTTACACCCAAAAATTTCATCGCCTGCCTGGCTACGATTAAGTTGTTTAAACAAATGTGTTGCAATAGTAGAAAAAAATTGTGTGTTTCAAAACTGGGGGTGCTTACAATATTTTTTTTTTTGAAAAAGGGGTACTTTATAAAAAAAAGGTTGAGGAATACTGTCATAGAACACTAGAACTGGAAGGGACCTCAGGAGGTCATCAAGTCCAGTCCCCTGCCCTCATCCCATGCGCCATCAAAGAGCATCGCTGATAGACGTTTATCCCTTACCCTTAGGAAGTTTTTTCCTATGTCTAATGTTGCTGCAATTTAAGCATGTTACTTCTCATGTTCTCAGTGTATGAGAAGAATAATTTGCTGGTTTTCATAAAGCTCTTGGATCCTGGAGTCCTCTGATTATGGAAGAATTTGAGCTCCTTGCCCCCTTTAAAGGACTTTTTTAGTTCTCATAATGCAAAGCAAAGTTTGAAAAAAAATGGTCAAAGTGCACCTAATGATCAAAAAGGGGAAGGCAAATAAAAGCAAATGCATCCACATTTTAAAATCTATTAGGGAGGTTATTGTAATTTCTGGAGCACTGATTCATGACTTGTTAGTGTCTCACGTTAGCAATTTAGAATTAAAATTTGCAAAAAAACCTGGAAAGCCCCTCAAAAACACGTGCAAAAATCTGGAACCGGAGCGCGATGTAAATGTATCTGCCAGCAGGTGTCACCCAGCTCCCTGACACAGCCACTCCTCCCCCGCCCCCCTTTGCGAGAAGCCCTCAACTTGCTCCAGGGAAGCCTCAAAGCACGGAACGTAAGGCGGGCGCTTTCCCGGACTGACCGCTCAGAGAGCCAATCCTCTGGCACGCCCCAATAGGCGTGACCTTGATTGAGCGTAAACTCTGCCAATCAAAGTTGCTAGAGGATACCCGCCCCGGACTAGTCGGACGGCTACTTTCGACGGACAGGCAGCTCAACCAATCCCTTGGCAGAGTTTGGGGCAGGAGGCGGGAGCCGTTCTTTCAGCTCTCGCGAGATCATCCTTCCCTTCGCTGGGTGACTGCGCAGCCGCCTTGTTGGTTGCTATGCTGCCTCTGAGGAGGAGGAGGGAGGGAGGCCGGGCCTGAGGGGAGGAGGCTACTGCCCCCTCCCCTTTCCCCAACAGCCTCCCTCACAGCGGCCGCGAGCCCGCCCGCACGCCCGCCGCCCCCC